TGCAAGTGACTCAGAGTGAGAGAGTGCAAGCATACATGTGAGTGCATATGTGGGTAAATAAGTTTTGTGTGGATATGCCACTGCTGGGCAACGACATAAGATACTGCAGTTTACTTGTAAACAAAGTGATTTACATACTTTTTGAAGAGTCAGTCCCTTTTAACTTTACAATTTTCTTTATTTCATAAGCTTTCTGAGCAATCAGATGCCCTAACTCACTACAGCTTTCCTCTTTTTCTTTTTTCTATTTAAATTTCATGCTTGCCAGCTGCTTAGAAAATCCAGATGTGTTGCATCTTAACAGTGAAACTAAAAATAAAGAAATGTAACATGATTTCCATGGGCCAGGTATAGAAGAGATACCAGAACCAGCATTCAAAAACTTTAGAGGCTCCCATGAAGACTTGGTAGATTCATTTGGAACCTGTCCTAAATATTACAGATTTTTCCAGGATTGTTATAAAAGTTCCGACAACTCAAAGCAAATTCTGTCTAAACAGAGTCGTCATGGTTGGAAGGGGCCTGTGAGATAACCGAGTCCAACCTTACACACACAAAACACTCTTACAATCTTGGTCATTAGAGCATGCAACAAGTCTGCATTGTGACAGAGATTTGTGTAACCTCTGCTATTACCTTAGATTTGTCTTTTTCTAGTTATTTCAGTATCAACCAATTCTGGTGTTTAGTTATTAATGAATCACAGGATCACAAAATGGCTGGAGTTAGAAGGGACATCTAGAGGTCATCTTGTCCAAACCCCTGCTCAAGAAGAGTTACTTAGAATGAATTACCCAGGACCACACCTACACAGCTTTTGAAAATCTCCAAGGATGGAGACTCCACAACCTCTCTGGGCAACCTGTGCCAGTGCTCAGTCACCCTTACAGTGGAAAAGTGTTTTTTGATGTTTACCAGGAACCTCCTGTGTTTTGTGTTTCAGTTTGTGCCCATTGCCTCTTGTTCTGTCACTGGGTACTACTGAAAAGAGCCTGGCTCTATCCTGTTTGCCCTCTCCATTCAGGTATTTGTACAGATTGATAGGATCTTCTCTGACCTTTCTCTTCTCCAGGCTGAACGGTCCCAACTCTCTCAGACGTTTCTTGTATGAGAGATACTTGAGTCCCTAATCAGCTTCATTACATTTTGCTAGACTGTCTCCAGTAGCTCCATATCACTTTTGTACAGGAGAATCCAAAACTGGACACAGCACTTTAAATGGGACCTTAGCAGTGCCAAGTAGTGTGGAAGGATCACCTCCCTCAACCTGTTGGCAGTAATCCTCCTAATGCAGTCCAGGATACTGGTGACCTTATGGCAAAGAGTATCCTTATGTATCCTTACAGGTGGCTGTAAGGATACATTATTGGCTTGTGTTAAACTTGGTGTCCACCAGACCCCCCAGGTCCTTTTCTGAAAAGCTGCTTTCCAGCTGGGTGGGCTGAGCATATATTGTGCATGGGATTGTCCCTCCCCAGGTGAAGGTATTTGCACTTCCCCTTATTGAACTTCTTAAGGAGAAGCCCATTTCTCCAGCCTGTTGAGGCCCCTCTGGATGGCAGCATGACCCTCTGGTGTATCAGCCACTCCTCCCAGTTTTGTGTCATCAGCAAACTTGCTGAGAGTACACTCCGCCTCATCAACAAGATCGTTAATGAAGATGTTAAACCAGATCTGACTCAGTATTGACCCCTCGGATACACTGCTCATTACTGGCCTCCAATTAGACTTTGTGCTGCTCATCACCATCATCACAGGCTTGCTCATTCAGCCAGTTTCAAGTTCACCTCACTGTCTGCTCATCCACCCCATTTTTTTAGTAGTTAAGGAAATCTACAGATTGTCACCATTTTCTCTTTGGGCCACTCTAAAATTTCTCATTCTGTTTTGTTTGCCAGTAACTGTGAATAACCCAGCACAGGTTTTTGCATCTCATAAAAAGTTTCTACTGTAATTCTGTGCTTCAGAGAGACTTTACAGAAACGTTTATAGTAATAAACAGTGCAAGAATCTATTATTTGTGGATTTATAGATCCACAAATATAAAGTGGATATATGTGGATTTATAGATCCAAAGGTTGGAATATATCACCAAAGGAAATTTCTGTATAACCTTTATTTTGTTGGTTTTGGTTAATTTTAAAAGAGACATTCAATGCTTCAGGGAAGAGCCACAGAATTTATTTTGGATGTAAGGTCTTCCATTTACATAATCTTTACATATTTTCACATTTCTTATGAAAATTCCTGGTCCTCTTTACATACTTCCTTTCCCCATTAAGGAGATCCCCCATTAAAACCCTATGAATCATAGAATGGTTTGGGTTGGAAGGGACCTTAAAGATCATCTAGTTCTAGCCACCCTTCCATGGGCAGGGACACCTCCCACTAGAGCAGGTTGCTCAAAGCCCCATCCAGCCTGGCCTTGAACACTTCTATGGATGGGGCATCCACGACTTCCCTGACAACCTGTTCCAGTGCCTCACCACCCTCACAGTAAAGAATTTCTTTCTAGTGTCTAATCTAAATCTCCCCTTTTCAAATTTAAAACTGTTACCCCTTCTCCTGTTCTACTCAAAGCCTATTGCCTCCTGTTTTTCCTCTCATTGTAGGTAATCCATCTTATTTTTCACAGCAAATTTTTCCTGTGTCAGGAGATTTACCTAATGGGAACATGATTTTAATCAGGACTATCTTTCTATCAGAAGATCTAACCAGTCAGTGTTTAGATATCATTAAAAGGATTCTGACTCAGCCAGACTGATAATAACAATTTGATTGAATTACGTACAGAAGAGCCACTAAAGTATAATCTGTTTAATGATAGACTATATAAAAAACAAACATTTTCTGAGTAAATATGCTTAAACATGGTTGAATTTCTAGCATCTCTGATAATACCTAATTTACAGATTGTTTTTTTATGATAACAATAACGGTATACATTTAATGTTTAATGAAGTGTATCACCTCAAGTTTTATAGCTTTTATTGCACTATCACTCTTGAGATGTTGAAAGGTTGCAAAAAGATAATTTTTCAAAACTGAGGAAGATCTGCCATATTTCTAGAATTTTCACAGATTGTGCACTTCTATGTGGTTTTATTCTGACTATATTAACAAATGAGAACATAGTTTCAGAATTGTTTTTTGGGTCAAATTGCATGGTCTAGATTGCACTTCAGCCTGGATTCTTGCTACTAGCACTCCTCTATATGAAAACTCCTTCATATAAGAGAAATCCTGTCTGAACCTTTTTCTCCTTCTTTCCTTTTCTGTACTTTGTTAATGTGGTGGAGCGTTTTCAGCAGATCAGAGTGATCCTTGCAAACTCACCAAAAGAGAGAAATATAAAGGTTATACCAGACACGGTTTGGATGTTAATTTGAACTAGTAGTCAAAGTAGGCTTCCTTAAGTTCTTGCTTTCAGCACTAGATATCAACATCTGAGCACATTAACCGAAATATTTAATTACATTTAGTGTTGATCATCATATTTATCTACTATCTATAAAACTGCTTAACAATTAATGCTAATTGCCTGCTCAGTTATATTTGCAGTCACTTAAGTTCATGGTATTTACTCACAATTTATATTGTGCAACTGTAAAAGACAACTGGGAAGAACAGCAACAAGTTGGTTACAGGGTCCAGTTTAACAAAGTGATTTTACAACTCCAATTTTTGAAGTAAACATATTCTTACCGTTCAGGTGCAAATCAATGATCTTGCTAATAGAACACTAGACTTTTTCAGGATATTACTTAGTTGTAATTCTTACTGTCATGACTCATCTAAGGCTAGAGGGGAAGAGAAGTTTTGGTGGTAACTTGTTTTAATGTGGTTTCTTTTTTTTTTTTTTTTTTTAATTTGATACATTTCCTACTTCCAAACTTTCTCTTCATTGTTTTATTTATAGTTTTTTCTACACTGACCAATCCTGAAACAATACGATCAGTTTCATGAGGATAGTACACGGCTCAAACTCTGTTTTTCCTCTTGTTCAATCCTTTTGAGGCCTGGGCACTCTGTATGTGGCTCAGGAGAAGCTTAATGAAGAGTGTTTGTATAGAAGTGTTTATCATTTTCAGAAGACCAGATACTATCAACTTTTCAGAAAAATAGTAAAGGTTTTCAGTGTAAGTGATAAAAATCTCCCAGACAAGACCAGTCTGTCCTGAAGAAATCATATTCTCTTGAAATACTTTAGCCTTCTGCACATTTCTGGTTTTGGACAGTATCTTCAAACTTGGTCAAATTTTGTAAAATTATGATTTGTCTATGATAGATACCTATTGAAGCATATGTCTGAGACGAAACTCATTTCATCTCTGTGTTATATTTGGCTATAAAAGCATAACACAAAGCACCTCAGAGAGTAAATATAATCATGTTTATCTGTTTGAAAATAGCACATGTATTACACTTATTACCTTGTTAGCACGATGAATTCCATTGTAAATCTTTATGGTATTTATTCCAGGAAGAAGAAGTGGTTGTTTCTGCCAAAGAAAGTGTCTCCTTGTCAGTAGGGATGGCAGAGTATTCATAAACACAGAATGAAGTTTAGATTTCTCTAGTTAAATGGAGTGTTATAATCATAATGCAAAATGCAAAATAGGCAAAAGGATTCTGAATGGATCTGTAAATATATCCTCTTTCATTAGACTGATGTATTAAAATATCATGTGGTTAGCTGTGTGATGTTCTTGCTTGCTAGTGTATGCAGAAATATTTTTGAACTCACTCTTCTGAAAAAGAGAGACATAGAAAAGCAGGATTTCATAGGAGAAAAAAAAAAAGACCTTGGTATGATAGTATCAATAATGTATGTATTAATAGTTTGTTGCCATAATTTTGAAACATTTCTCATTTTCAATAAATATACGTATAATTATATCTCTGAAGTGCATTGTCAAATTTTAGCATATTGACATTGCACATTGACATTACAACCAAGACAGTGAACAAAACTAATTTTGTCTTTCTCTATTTTTAAGATCCGGATTTTAAGGACCTTGGCGTTTTGAAACCATTACCAGGTTGGTATGTTGTGTTTTATTTTAAACCTTCGAGGCTTTTGCATTCTGCTGTAGAAAATATTTTTGTTTTCTGTTCAGGTTTCATTTTTTCTGGTATTTTGTTATTCAGTTTGTGAGTTTGAGATGGGAGGACCTGAAGGAATTGTGGAATCGATACAAATAGTCAAAGAAGGAAAAGCTTCTGAAACTGAAGCAGTAGACTGTAAATGGTACATCCGAGCACCACCTCGATCCAAGGTCAGTCCTTATTCAGTTGCTGATTTGCTATTTAATTTAAGAAATTGACTTTTCTAATGTGTTGTGCATTTCTTAGCACAGTCAGATCTTGTTTAATAACTTTACAGCTCGAACTTGAACACTATTTTTTTTCCTTCTGCTGTGGCAGGGTAATTTGTCACCTGAGTCAAAATAACCTTCTTTCTCTATAAATAATGATGTGGGCAGAGTTTATTTGCTTTTTGTGCCATAAGTAATTCTCTTAAATTCATTTTTAATTTTGCTCACACTTTTAAAGAATCAATGTGTTTTCTTAAGCGGGAGGTAATCTTATCACTTTAATTTTCAATATATTTCAAATACCTAATATAGACACTACTAAGGGAATACTGCTGGTCCCTAAGGCCGTCATTGTTTCTTGCCTGGGAGATTTGAAAATGGAGCCAAGGTAAAATCATGTTCCTCTGTATGAGATTTTTAGTTCCTTTGGTTTAGAGCCACAGACAAAAAGAGAGTCTTTTCTCTCCAACCACAGTCAGCAAGTCATGTCTTTGTAACAAACAGGAGAGGGCTGCAGTGAATTTAACAATTATTTTCTGGAATTCTATTTGAGTTCCTCTCTTATACATGCTTTATCAGTTATTATATGGATTAATTTTTGCTGGCTATACTACCATTGCTCCTGTTTTTGCAACTGGAACAGCTTTGTGCTTCCCATCTACTTTCATTCTCTCTGCTAAAGAGTGTTATATTTTTGCTAGCTGTCTTTATTGGACAGGAAAGGTTTTACAAGGTAAAATTAATATATCTACTAATCTCTGCCATCTTTATACTGATAATGCTTTTTTTTTATAATCTCAGAGCAGACTGTACTGAATATATCTAATTGTTCCAACATTCGGTATTGAATAAGCAGAGGGAAGTGTTTTCCAGAAGAGAAAAAGTCATTAGTATAAGCATTTTTCTATTGTGAAAGTTTAGGAGAGGAGCTGAATAGTTGGCTCATAAAGAGTACAGATAAATTACTTCCAGAATGTACTTTAATGTATCTTTTTTTTTTAATTTTTTTTCACTTTTGGATGAAGTCAATATTCTTAGAGGTTTTCAATTAAGTAGATGAGCTTCCCGCTTTGCTACAGTAAGTAGCTATAGATGTGAAATGACTGGACTGCTGAGTGATTATTGTGTATAAGAATTATATGCTTAGGTATTAGTAGAAAGAAAAGAGGTAAATAAAAAATGAGATTTATGTTTATTAGAATCAGCACAACTAAATAAGATATTAATATTGTCCTCTAGTCTTAATTTCAGTTTATGCTTGGTTGGTAGATAACATCATTGTGATAGTCTCACTTGATCTAAGTCTAAAGTTCTATATGATTCAAAGTTCTGTTAGAAATCCCATATTTATTTACCTGTAGGATTTATCCACATTTCAGTCCTGATATAACAACACAAATTGTGTGGGTACACAACCATAAACACAGTGTGTAGCAGAAGTATGTCACACTACAGCTGTTAATATAGGATTAAAGATTCTTTGGTTCTTCATGGACTTCTATACCTGCATTTAGTTGTGTTGCATTTCAAAAAGCGTACACCAGCTGAAGAGCATCTGGAAGGGAAAGCAATGAGAGACTTCTAGAAAACCTGAGGAAAGACTGGAAGTTATTTAATGTCATCTAGAATATTTTGTGAAGGAGCATGATACCAGATAATAAAAAGCTTTTACAATGAGGAAGGAATGTTCTGATATCCATGTCTATAGGATAAGTCATGGTCTTACACTCCAAAAGAAAGATTCGGGTTAGATACTAGGGAAGCAAATTTCAAACAGCAAGGAGGGGATTATGAGTGATCGGTCAATAAAGTTTTCTTAAGTCAGCATTGCTAGCAGTCTTAAAGTGCAGGTCTTTTCTCTCTATGAAAAATGAAAGAAACATTACTAATCCTACTTTTAGGCAGAGGAGTGGCCCGGATCATCTCTTGATGAATCTTGCTACTCCTGTTTTACAGAATTTCCATATATGAAGGAAGGACTTAGTGGTTAAAACTTTAAAAAACCTCATATGAAGTAAGATTTATGGTAAGGTTGTTTATTGGCCTGATTCAATTGAACTGGATTCTATTGTCCATATTTTACAGTTAGCTTCCTTTCTGCATATCTAACCTTGAACTAATGATATATTCAGTACAATAATTCAGTGACATCATTCTAATTTATGGCAGCTTACACCTATGAAAACAGGCTCTCCTGCTAAGAACAGCAAGAACTCAGCAGACGTCTTTAAATCCACATGTTCCTGTACTCTGGGCTGCACAGTTTGTTACTGGGAACTATGCCTAAAAGGCCAGAGTTTCTCAGACAGAGTGAGGGTTGGATCTTTACATCTTTAGTTTCTTAATTAAACTGTGCGAGAATGCAGGCTGCTTGCAATTTCATTTGGCTTAAGCTCATCCAATCTAAACTCTTCTGCAGAAGCAAGACGCAGGTCCTTTCCTTGGTTTGCAATTCCCAATTCAAGCCAAGTCTGAGCTCAACATATAGGCAATGAGATCAGTCAGGGAGTATGAACCTGAGATCTCTTCAAACTGACAGTCTGGATGTAACGCTGCTGCTATCCTCAGCAAGCTAGAATGGGACAGAGAACAGCAAATTTCTTGCACACATTTAGAGCCATCACTAATTACTTTATAGAATCAAAAGCAAAATGCTGAAAATGCATGAAGAACTGAAACTTGCTGGAAGTGCAGAAGACAGTAGGAGCCAGTTTAAGCAGAACTTCAATCTATACAAAGACATGGAGCCTTGTATTTGACAGTGACTGGTTGCAAAGTGTGTGTCTCTTGTAATCATTCAAAGTCAGCTCCTGCTAAGCAAGATAGCTGAGAATCTGGAGTTCAGAAATACTGGGGGTTCTGCACTTTGCATAGAAGCAGACTTCAATCAGTAGAGAGCAAGAATGTAAAACGAAGCAGACAGCTGCTGACCAAGTGTGCCAACCGACCTGAAACAGTAAAGAGCTGGAGGAACCTCTCCATCCCAAAACTCTTCACTGTAAGACTGCTGTTGGGGAGCAGGGGGAGAGGGATGTGCGGTGTGCAGGGTGGGAGCAGGGCAAGGGTGGGAGCAGGGCAAGGGTGGTCACAGGGCCAGGACATGGCTGATGAGGAGAGCTAGGCAGGCCTAGCCATGCCGGTCGGGGTGTAGTGGTGGCTACGGTGACCAGTGGCAATGGGGTCAGCTATAGCTTGAGCTGGGTCAGCACCTCAGTGAGATGAGGCTGGGGCAGTGAGGCTCAAGGCTGGGTGTGGACCAAAGGCCCGAGTGGGGCCAAGACACTTGAGTATTTACAAAGCATAGGCTACCTAGTAGAGGCTCTAAATCACCTATCACTATTTTCATGGTGGACCTTGTATCCACATATCTGATCAAAGAGATGATGCTTTCAGTTCCAGGTGCCTGACTTTCAGATTGAATGTAGTCTGGTGAGAGAATGGGCTGTTGCACATACATTCCTAGACAGTCTGTGTGAACCAATCTGACTAAACCAAAATATTTTGTGTTCTCACATGTGAAGTGAAAACCTATGCTGTCAGATGAGACCTGTAAGAAAAAAAAACCAACAAAACATTTAAGCTCTCAGTGCTAGCAGACTAGCATATCCCTAATTTTTGGAGGCTTCTTAGTCAGATGTAGAAGAGAAGGTTTAAGTAGTGCACTAAAATTTAATAAGAGGCATTTGGGGGGCAGTTCCTGAAATGTTACAAATAAATGAAATTTAGAAACTGAAAAACCTAATAGTCAGAGACACTTTTACAGGCTCCATCTTTGAAGAAGCTCTGAAGCTTGCTAACATACAGATAATGCAAATAATATTATGAATAAAAAAAAAAAAAACAACACATTTATATAGCATCCCTGGAACAAGGTGAACAAATTAGGTTTAAACAAATAGAAAATATTGTTTACTTATGTTAAACTATTAAAATAACTTCTTTGAAACAGTTTTATTAGGTGAAGATGCAAGGCAAGCACCTGTGTAGAATTGTGTATGTAGAATCTCTTCTAGCAGGCATGGTAATACACATGCCAGAGTAGTATTGACCAAAAAAAGCACTTCCAAGTTAGCATGAACCTATTCCATTCAGGTATAGAAATATCATCAACCTCAACATCCCCAAAACAAATTATTATTAAGAAATGTAATTTAAAAAACCTACTGATGAAAGTAATAAAGCATCTACCAAAGAGAACAGACGAATCAGGTTGTGATGTACAGTTTTCAGTGTTAAAAAGCAGGGCAGCACCAAAGAGCCGTAAAGGTTGTCACTTGCAAACATTTTGCCACTGTACGAGAGAAAAATGAGGGTGACTTGACGGTTAGAATAAATGTCAGTTATTGGGGACTCGTAGAAGTCTGAAGAAACAAATAGGACAAAGCAAAGAAATCTGAAGAGTTTCACTTGTCCAGGAAAATGGTATTTTTATGTCTGAGCCTGGCTGTGAATCACACAGTGTTAGAAGAAGTACCATATAAGGTTGTCACCTCTGAGAGACGGTGTTCTTCAAACACCAACAGAGAGGAAAATATGAGGTATGGAGCTCTCTGTTTGCACAGCATGGACCCAGACTGATAACAGCAGGCATAAAAATGTCAAAAAACCCTCAAACAAACAAAAAACTGAACAGAACATGTACTGTTAACACTTTCATGCGTAAGTAATGTTAATTTTCAAAAAATAAGTTTAGGATCCAAGCAACAGGACAGGCTACTTTAGAAGACAAATTCAGCATTGTTAGTAATATGTTTGTTAGGCTGGTACGCTTGTGGTCTTTTTGTCTTGAAGGAGATTAATTAGTGTTGCACAACCTGCTTTAAAAAACTGGGCTTCCCAGGCCTAAATTCTACAGGTATCATCTTGAAAGTCCTTTGTTAATCACATAGAGCTGAACAAGATGCAGAACAAAGCAAACACTGTAACTGATCACTGAGCAATAGGGAAAGACATAGGACCAT